TGATACAGGAGAACAAACAGGTTCATCCTAGAGAGGGTATAGCCAGGCTGCTCCTTGGAGGCAAGGATTCTGAGGCTTCATCTGACATACTCTGGGCATGTTGCAAGGAGCGACCAGTCCTTGGAGAGGGATGTCATGCTTGGGAGGGTGGAGGGACAGAGAAAGAGAGGGAGACCATCAAGGAGATGAATTGATACAATGACTCAGGTAATGAGGGTAGGTATGTCAGAGATAGTAAAGTTGTCACAGGATAGAGCAGGTTTCAGGGCTGCTCTACACAGGGTCACTATGAGTCACAAGCAATTCAATGACACATAACAATAACAACAACATTATGATCTTACCTAAATATTGACCAAGAGAGTGGTTAAGCCACGATTTGGGCCACAAATGGTTATTATGAAATAAGTTGCCCCTCGCGTTACTCGACCTTTTTCAGAGCAAATCCTGTGTTTGAGTGCAGCACAACTTGAAACATTAACCTGAAACTTCTTGGAATGGCTTTTCCACATTAAAAAATAAGCACTGAAACATTATATGTAGTGTCGTGTCCCAATGACGTCATTGGCGTCATGCAGTGCAGGAGTCACCCAATGTCATACCCTTCCCACCTGTCATGATTTCCTCTCCAACCAGACACTATAGAATCTATAGGAATGCTTATTATAATACATTTTAATTCTAGAGTAATAGGTGATTAAGTTTAGTTGTATAGTGTTCAAATGTAATATTTCTTCTAGTATATCAATGCTAACAAAGAAATTATTCCATAAAATCGTTCTGCATGGAATTGGTGCATTATTAGTGACTAAGCAAAAGCCTTAGTTTTACTTTTCATCTAATTATTATGTCATTTCTTTAAAAAAGTTCTTTATGCACATTTACAGTTACTCCTTAGAATAATATTGTGGTTACATCACCAGAATATTTAACAATATCAGTAATTATGAAAACATAGGCAACAACAGAGCAGTTCGTGTTTGTGGCATGCGGGAAAGCACCGGATGTGGAATATTATGGTGGGATAATAATGACACTTCCTACACTTAGTGCACTGTTGTCATCTTAGTTGTTGTGTGCCATGGAGTCAGAACCCTCCAGTAGTTTTTAGAGGCAGTTAATTGCGCCAGAAGAGAATAAGTATCTTTCTCCTGCAGAGCGGCTGGTGGATTCAAGCAGAATACTTTTGGGTTAGCAGTAGGCTCCTTACCACAGGGCTGCCCCTAGAGTTCCCTAAGGATCAGAAAGTAAATTAACATAAAGTTTTATTTAACTTTGTACGTCCACCAATGCATGTAATCCAGGTTCATGAAAAATGCCATTTTTATATTTAACTATAGGAATGGCTTAATAAAAAACTTCTGCGGAAATACTGCACCTAAAAATGTATTAACAGTCATTTTGGTGTTATCTCCTCTCAAAGTGTCACCCAGTGCTGTGTGCATGCTTATAACCCCCAGTGATGCAACTGCCACATGCGGTGAGGTCAGAGGCCTATGTTTCTGATTTCAGAAAAGCTTTGAGTAGTTGGTAGAGATGAGGATGGGGGTCACTTACTGAGAAGCTCGGGCTTTAGGAGGTTTGGAATATAGAGGAGAGGCATAAGAAAGATGTTCTCTGAGAGTTTCAGAAAGGAAAGTCGTGCTTCCAGGATGCAATCACCCCTGGTTGGATGGCCATGCAGATTCCAGAAACGACGGTTGTACATCTTTAACCCATTGGATGTGCTAACTTTGAACAACTAAAATGACTGAAAATAAGCTCATTTCCTGTTGATCATTTCCTGTGACCCTATCATACACAGCAAAGAAAGAGGGAAGGGGGGGAAAGAAGAAAGAAACAAAAATAACCCTCCCCCTCCTCAAAAACAAAAATCCACACATATGGTAAATGTACTACCATCACAAGTAGGTAATGCTATATATTCACATATGGAAAGCATTAAGTAAAATGAAAATGGTTATGTTAAGGTCATTGACTTAATTACTGTTTGTGATCTTTAGGGAGTGGGATTACAAGAGACTTCCTATGTTTTGTCTTTGTGCAGTGTTTTGCTGTTTAAAACAAGGATGTTATATTTTTATATTCTTAAAATCAAGGAAAGACAATACAGCTTTATTTTAAATATCTGATGTTTAATTCTTAATGCTTAATATTTTATGCATACTATCTTTAAAGTTGATGCTTCTGTCGATAAAAACTGTTCCTCTCTTACACTTAAGTTCACCTGGTGGGATTCAGGGCAGTTGTTCATTTATATAAAATAGATATTTACAAACTTTGGTGGAGGGCTTTAAAAATAAAGGACTAGGATCAACAGAGGTAAATTTTACCTTAACATTCTCAGTCAGAACGCACTCATAGCTGGCTCTCCTATGAGCTTCTGAGGCTGCATAACTCACAAGAGAGCATTTGTCTATCTTCCTCCCATGAAATCAATGGTGGATTTGAATCTCCCAGAAAGATGTGGCCTTTGAGTTATCAGCTCAACTATCCAAGAACTATACCACTAGGCCTCCCTAAATTTAATCACATGGGACATGTAACATGTTTTTTAATATTTTTTAACAGTAATTTTTATAGCTATAAAATTTTTATTATATACTGGTTTACTTAGAAAGTGTGTATACATTGTTTTTCACATCAGATCTTTCCCCTTTCCTTTACCTACCCTTCCCTCCACTCATGAAATTGTGCAACCCTAGACCCTATGATTAAGCCCCTGCCCATTCTCACCCATCTTCTACCACCTCCTCACCTTGGATCCTCATGCGCATTCCACAATAATGGTCTTATACAGTATTTGTCCTTATGGGACTGAGTTAGTTCACTTAGCATAATGCTCTTCAGGCCCTCCCAAGTTAGGTAGTCATTTACAAAATCATTGCTCCTGCTTGCTGCATAGTATTCCATCCTGTGACTGTACCACAATTTCTCTATTCATTCGATTGTGGTTGGATATTTGGGCTGTTTCCATATTCTTACGATGGTGAATAATGTTGCTATGAACATTTGGTGTACAAGTCTCTGTACCTCAGTTTTCATCTTCTCAGGGTATATTCTAAGCAGTGGAAATCTTCCTATAATATTTCAGGATCTTAAGATCAGTCTTTGGTTTGCCATTGCATCCACAGTTCAAGGAGTGAGTCCTTGTGATGTAGGGATTAAGCATCAGGATGCAGTCCAAAGGTGTGCCCTGTGGCAGCACTTAGGAGGAAGATAAGGCAGTTGTGCTTGCACTGAAATATACAGCTTCAGAAACCCAGTTGGCAGTTCACTCTGCCTCACAGTTATGAGTGTGTGGGTAAATGTCAAAGACAGAACTTCTTCCCTGCAAATCCTCATAGATTTGAAGACAGAAAAGAGGCTCTACCCACATCAAGACACTTCTAAATGTATTCTTTTGTTACTTCTCAGGAGTTTGGATTTTCCCTTTTACTCATGTGCTAATGAATGAAATTCTCTTGCAATTGATCAATTTATAAAGATGTGCTTTGGTTGTCTGGATCAACTTTTGCAAATAAAACCAACATCCATGTGATACCTTTGAATAATCTTTTCAATCTCAAAATACCATTAGTGGTAGACAGATACAGTGTTCTTCGTGTTCTTTGGCTCCACAAGATCATCCTGATCTTCAGGCAAACATCCCTCCTCCCCCATATACCCCCAGGATACGTGCAAAGTCAAAGGTAACTCTTGGGCAGTTCTGCATATGAAAAGTATCACACTGTCCTGTGATTTTATAAGCATTCTATGGTTTTGTTTGCTCGGTGCGCCCCCCCCCCCACCGCCCCCATTAGCAGTCTTGTGCTTCGTAAAGAGTCTGATCTGAATAGAAATGTTTTCATTCCCAGAGTCACCCTATCCACTGGGGAGTCACTAAATCCTACACCCTCAGCAAGAGGAGATGTGAGGATCTTAAATAACCTTGGTGTCACCTGCTGGGCTTTCCCGGGAACCTTCCCTGGGAGCAGTGGTGGTAGAGAGAATGAGTTAGTTTGGGGAGGAAGGGCGGTCTGGGAGGGCTCAGCTCTGCAAAACAAGGGCGCCGTGGGGCAGGTGCGCGGCCGCGCGCGCGCGCTCTCCGAGCCCCCTTGCGCCCCGTGGCGGGCGCGACCCCGGGCGGCGGGCGCTCCACGCCGGGTTTTCCGCCGCGCCCCTCGCACAGACACACAGCAGGACCCACAGCCACACGCTCGCCCGCGCCGCCGGCTCCGCTTCAAAGCAAGGAGCGCCCGGGCTGCGCGCGCGGTGATGCCGCTGCCAGCCCGCGGTGCTTGCGGGGGCTGCTGAGACTGCGAGCAGGGGGGCCAGCTTTGGCAATTCCAAAGTGCTTCTTGGGAAGGAGTTTGAGTGAGGAGGAGTCCAGCCGCCCCGAGGGGCGTGAGGGGGAGTGTTCCCGGAAAGCCGCGGCGATGGAGCCGCGTTGCGTCCGCCGCCCCGAGTTGAGAAAGAAAACAGGAAACGTGGTGGCCGCACACCCGGCCGCGGCTGATTCATTCGCTTGAAGCGCTGCGCGGATGCTCCACCGGCGGGCGGGCGCGGGGACGCGGGCCGGGGCCGGGCAGCCAGGCGCTCGGACGTGGACCACAGGCTCCCTCTGTGGGGCGGGCACCTAGGCGCGCCACCCACTTCGTCACACTGCACAGCTGGGCACCGGGACTAGTCCCCCGGGGGCCCTTTGCCTCGCCTCCAAGTCGCAGTGTGGTCTGTCTGTCCTTGTCCTCGTGTAAAAGTTGGCTGGCAGCGCTTCCCGCGCCCTCCCCGGAGTCTGGACTGTCTGCGCCAAGCTGGAGAGACTGTGCTTCCCTGAGGCCGCCCGCACAGCCTCGGCCGCGCTCGCAGTGCCGGGCTCGGCAATATGAAGGAGCAGCCCTCATGTGGGGGCACCGGGCATCCGAGCATGGCGGGGTACGGCAGGATGCCCCCCTTTGAACTCGCCGTCAGCCCCGTGAAGCGCCTGAGAACTGAGCCCCCCTTTCCCTATCTCTTCGCAGAGGAGGCCTACCAAAAACTGGCCAGCGAGACCCTGGAGGAGCTGGACTGGTGTCTGGACCAGTTAGAGACCCTGCAGACCAGGCACTCTGTCAGTGAAATGGCCTCCAACAAGGTAAGCCAGGCGCCGCTGTCGCCGGGGTCCCCCGTGGCTGCCAGTCCCCATGCACAAAAAGCCAGTCTCCATGGCCTAGGGACATTCATCCAAATGTTTGTCACACTTATAGCACGCTAGCGGTTCTCCCTTGAAAGGAGATTCCCATTAATGTGCCTTCACCCTCCTTTCCTCCCATTCATTGTAGGCAAATTAAACTATATTGCAAAAGCAGCTTCGACAGAGTTTGCTATCTCCCTCACTCAAGACACAGTGGTTGATTTGTTCAGAGTTTCTTGAGTGACACTTTGCCCTTGCGGCAGCAGAAGCCTGGGAGAGGCCATTAACATTGCATATTTAAAGGTGTTCTTGGGAGCCCCCGTTGCAAATAGGATTTGCTGGCTGCTCACCATTTATTGCCCTCAGACTAGCTCAGAGTTGTTGGTTGAACTCTGAACCTTAACCCTCCTTTATGGGGTTGTTAGGGTACACTGAAACATTGGCGGCATTATCTGTGCAGTTGTCCATACATGTCCACAGGCTTATCAAGAAAGTTAGACGCTTCGTTATTTATGAACGGGCCCCTTTGATTTCAAGGTGAGAAAGTCTTTAAGTTTTCGGAGGTCATTCAGTCGCCTTCGTGCTGGGACCGGGCAGAACATTTGTGCCCTATGTGTCAAAGTGCTGGTCTCTGCTGTTAACAGGCGTTTTGGAGGCTGACAAGTAACCTTTAGGAAGAGACAGCATTAAAATAGCCTGGAACCAAGGTGGAGTGTTTCTAGTTTTGCCTTATTGGGAGGAATTCCTGTGCTCCCCCCCTTCCCTTATTTAAGGTAATGAGAGAAATTCTGTATGTCTTGAATGACTGGTTAGGGTGAGGGTCAGGAAAGAAGGCAAGCACATGTTGGATGCAGATGGCTGAAAGGCTGAAGGTCTGGCATCTTTTTGTTTGTCTGACAATAAGTAATAGCTGCTTCTTTGAGAGATTCAAGTCATTTTGACCACCTGTGTACAGAATCATTTACTGTTTATCAATATGCATATTTGTTTCAAGGAATGATTGTTATTGTTTTCATTTTAGCTTACTGTAGTAATCATGCCACTGGGTTTGGTGGGGTTTTTTCCTCATTCAGTTTTTAATGATTCCACTTAATTATTAGCTTGTAACATTGCTGGTGTAGGTTGCGTTGTTCATGAAAATGGTGAAATATTGACTTCAAATGAACAAATAAGATACAAGGGGCACTCCAATCATTGCATGCAGTCAGTTCTCCCTCCTCAGTCCTAAGCTGTCTGCATGCCTACTGATCAAAGCAGTATTTTCTGGGTGTTGGGCCCCATGTCTGAATTTGGCATAGTTCCTCATCACAGTGACCAGGTCTTAGCAGGACTTTGTTACACCTCACCCCCTACCTCTCACCCCCAGATGTGATATCAGTTGCCTCTTCTTCTTTAGCTAACAAACTTGTCTGCAGTGATGAGTTTTATCCAGCAACAGAGTGATTTTTTTATCATTTGATTCATAATAGCAATAAACTTATACTTTGTGCTGAGTGGGACAGTTCTGCAGAGTTCTTAATTCTGTTGTAAGGTTAATTCTCTGCAGCAGGAAGCCCAGAACCTGAAGACACTTTATGAGATGTGCAAGCCCTTGCTTATGTTTTCAAGATGATGATTTGACAGTACTTTCTCAGCAAAATGACCCTAAGCAGCAACACTTAACTTTCTGTAAAAATCTATACTCTTGGTGATGTTTGAAATGAAAAGTGAATGTGGAATCTAACAAAGCATTGCAAATGACAAGAGAAAAAGAAAACTTTGGGTTAACAATGATTGCTCAAAATGACTCCCTTTTAAAAAAAATGCCCCAAATAGGACAGGGATGCATAATTTTTGTGTTTTATTTTTAAATCTTCGTCCTAAAGACCTCCAAATAAGAGTTTGCGAATGGAAGTTAATTTATTTGGTTGAAGGGTAAATGAAAAGAAAATGCTTTACCAAATATATGTATTAAAGCAGGTGTTAGAGCTTGTGTTGAAAGATTGTTGATTTAATGTATTTTAAAATGAAATGCAACTCACTGAAGCTGTTAAGTTTTTAAGATACTCATTTCTCTTTCTTAACCCATTCACTTTGTTTTTGGTTAAGTGATAAACTCGAGACTTTTTACTACTGTAGAAAGGCTTAACATAGAAAAAAGAGAGCTCTTGGTAAAGATTGTAAAGTTACACGCCTGCTTGCTAACTAGGGCACAAATAAGACACAATCACTTGAGCTGTAAAGGGAGTGAGAGCAGCTGATATGAAGGTCAATGTGATGCCACACCTTAAGTCTGAACTGGAAATATGTAGAGCTTACATCACAGAGCCATGGGGTTTTTTGCTCTTGGAGAGTGTTTTAAAAACAAACAAATAGAAACAAACTGAATCCACTCAACAATAATGAGTTGGGGTGTGAATGAATGAATGCTGGACTCTTAGTTTTTGGTGGTGAGTTTGTTTCACCTTTTTATTTTCTTCTCCCTTGCTTTTCCAACCTGTATCATTATGTTATTAATCCCTTTCTGCCTCTGAGAAATAATGACGTTATTCTATTCGCTCTAATTTGCTCTAAAGTAGTACAGTTGAAACAGTGCAGTCAAAACACTAGTAAGAAGTCAGAATACTGAAATAATACTAGAGAAAATATTCATTACAGAAATAGATTTGGGTGTTAAGAAAATAGAAATCTATTAGATTCAGTAGTATAGATTAGCAAATTACCCATAGATTTTTAAAATCTTAAAGAAATGTAAACCCACAGCAATCTAGTCTGTCTTTCTACTATTCCTTTATAAGCAGCAGCTCCAGATCTTACATTGGTGTTGCCATCAAGATACTGCTACTTGGCAATATCGAGGCCAGAACATGACTGAATTCTTGGCTAACACCAGCACCGACTAGCACATGTAGGATGCTTGTACCAAGGAGTTAAGTAAGAGAATCCAGATGGCATTTAATTTGAGTGGTTAAATCTACAGCATTTGCTCTCATAAGCACATTAATCTGCCTGAGATTTGTGCAGATTTCCTTTAGAACCTCACTGCTCCAATTGACAGTGTGGTTGGGCAGGTCTTCAAGGCTTTGGGGGTGGCCAACCTGCAAGTTGAATCATGAGAAATTACTTAAACTTTTAACTGCAGTTTCCTTAGTATAACATGGGCATAATTTTCTTTTGAAACTCAGTAGAAGATCTAGAAAGGATCTTCAGGAAACAGTGTAGTATCTCACAATATTGGGCACTTATTTGTTGTTGTTTTTACTTATGATTTAGATCTAATTTCTTTAGTTGTTCTGTTGGTTAAGCCTTGCTTCTATTGACTTGATTCCTGCTTCTAGTGACCTGATAGGACAGAGAACTTGCCCAAAAGGCTTTCAAAGCTGTCATCTTTATGAAACGATATCTTTCTCTTTGGGAACGGTAGGTGCCTGGATTTGAACTAGTGACCTTTAGGTTAGCAGCTTATTGCTTAATGATGGCACCACCAGAACTCCTTTTGGCTAGTACTCAAACTCACTTCCATCAGTCTCTCTTGACTCATAGGGACCCTCCATTGGGTTTCAGCCACCCTAGTGGCATTGTAGGTTAAGTATTGGGCTGCAAATTGAAAGATCAGCAATTCAAATCCACTAGCTGTCCTTTGGGAGAAAGATGAGACCTTCTCTTAATGTTAAGAATAACAACCCTAAAAATCCCATGGAGGGTACCCATGAGTCAGGATGAACTCAACAGCAGGAGATTTTGATTCCAGTTTATATATTTACCATTCAGTTGTTATTTATATGTGCTATTTTGTGTTCTGCTGCTTTTTATATTACAATTCTTAGGTAATTTAGTGACCATTTCTACATTATAAAAACACATAAATTATATTTGTACTTTTTGTCATGATTGTGCAAGGCATGACTATGTTGAAGATCTAATTAGACATTTAGTCTTTTCTTAAATTTCAGGCAGAAGGGCTGCATGCTTGTTTTTTTTTTACTCTTAAAACTGGAAACTTGGCCCTTCCTAATTTCTAGAACATAAGAAACATAATATGAATTGGTGATCACTTTCCCATCCATCCTTTACTACAGATTTTGCAGAGTTTTTAATCTGTTTGTAATTTGAATGGCTTAAAGGAGTTTTGGGTATTAGAGTCACTTTGAGTTGGGATTGATCCGATACTAGGTGGGTGATGACAGTCTCTTATTAAAAAGAAATTGAGACTGAGGCAGAGAAAGCATTTCTAGGAGGGCTATTAAGATCATCAGCTTTATTCCTTGTTGGCCTAGCTATGCATGTTTTGCCAAACGTTTAAGTGCAATGATGTTTGGAGACAGCAGTCACATTATATCCTCTAAAAGAATGTGCCTACCCTAATGTGTTTGTTTCTACTCTCTAATTGTGAGGCATCTAAGAGTCTTAGCATCTTTGGAAGTGTCTAAGTCTCTCTTGAAGATAAAATCCAAGCATCCTTCTCAGACGCCATGGTTTTCTTTAGTTCTTTACTGATGCACCTGAGCCAGCTTTGCAGATGTGATCTTGACTTCCTTGTGGTGTTTATTGTGTCTGTTAGGGTTCTAACAAACACCTCAAGCCCTTCTGTTGCCTATACATTGCATCTCAGGGGTGCTTTGTCTTCGGCCTGGTTCTGACTGCTCCCCCTGCTGTGTTACAACAGTCACTGCATAACATATTAGAGCTGATTTTGTTGCTGATGTATTTTGAGCAGGAAGGATGCTAGAATGACTATCGGAAGGTCATAGATGTGGTTAAATCTTAAGAGAGAGCACTAGATAACTCTCCAATTAGAAATAAACGTTAAACTTGTATTAAGGAAGAAGGTGAAGTAAATTGGAAAAGGCATTTTACTTTTATGGAGAGAAAATAGCAGCAGTTATTTTGCATTATGAAATTAAAACTTGGTAGAGTCACAAGAGAGTTACCTAGAGTTAATTGAAATGCTTAAGGAAAACTTAGTAAATTTTTAAAGAATT